GGTAAGTCGATGAAGCGAATGAATACCTATGAGAACGCCCAGGGAATGCCGAAAGTAAGCGATACGTCGGACAAATGAAGATAGCTACTACAGGTTAACAATGGTGGTGTCCACATCAAACACCGAGCTTACATTCTCCCATAATCGCAATTGCTTGATCGTTGACGGTGTTCAGTCCGATATTCGTATACTGCTGCACTGTTTCCTCAATCTGCGCTTGATTGAACAGAGGGAAGAGCTGCGTAACGTAATCCGTGGCCGTCATTTGTGCGGAAAAGTTCGCATTAACGAATACAGTGCCTTCGAAGGCATTCGTAACTGCAAGGAATGCATTCTAAAGAGTTTCCAGTACAAGTAAATACATCATTATTGGCTGACAGTAGATGACGCACCCCATTGAGCCTACCACGGTTGATGGTCTGGATAGGCCGCTCAACGATCATGTCCCCACCGACGACTGGGACCACCACAAATGTTCCGTAAAAGCCGGATTCATTGATGACAACATTGGCGCCTTCGAGTGTTCCAGCATTAGCATCGACCAGGCACTGGAAGGTATCCGTAGCATTGCTGCATCTAATAGACAGGTCAGACTGACACTGAAATAACAGTACGGTATGGTAGAACGCACTCACCCTGCCATTTGGACGAACTCAGAATAAAGTTTCTATAGCATGTTGGATTTAGTAAATGGTATCTTTCACACGCACTCCACGCACCTCCGGAATTGCATCATCAAAGTTGTACTGAGAGGGCAAGAACGTCGAACTCGTGATCGCTTGATGGAACAAAGGCGGCTGTGTATTTCCACCGTGTGCAACCATGTGCTGAAGTACAGATCCAGCACCTTTGGAGTTCGAGCATCCTTGGCTTGAGAGGCTGTCCCAAGGAGAATGGAACCATTTACGTACCTGCCGACTCTCCCCAAATCGTTACTCGGCTCGCGTCACCACCAAATAGGTGGATCTGATAAGACAGCCCGTCAAGTGTGATACGTTAAGATTGGAACATGAAATACCCTTACGTTCTTTTGTACCCATTGGAGCGCAAATTGCTGATCGACTATCAATCTGTTAGACCTGTTCAATATTCATTATACTGTTTCACTTACGCAGGCCAGCATTCAATGCACCCCTTTTTTTCACCTCAGAACCAGGGAGGAATCCTAAATTGCCTGAGTTTGAGAAAGTAGAATGGATGACACTAACTGGGATGAATCTCACCGAAAACTCCCAGACGGTATTCCAATTCGACGGCAACAATACCTCCACTTGCTTCCCTAATAAGATCACTCCCATTCTGCCCAGATGTGCTACCCGCAACATAGCTAGCGAGAAGCCAATGAGGTCATGGAATAATGGGAGTGATTACCGTCGCCAAACTTACCCACCGCCATGGATCCAAAATACGACTGGCATGCGTGCTTTTGGATTAATTTCGCCGGAGACATGAACACTGTATAAGCACCAGAAACGTCGGTATAATGTAAGAGTTGAATTTAAAGTATCCTACTTCAAGAACAAACAATCCTCGATCTCCGTGTTCTGTCTGCGATCTTTGTTGTTTGACAGGTCTCGGAACGGGGTAGTACTATTGGAACCTGAACCAGCCATTGGACATGCCTGAGGCTGTGTGTTCGCAAGCTGCACGCCTTGTGCCCGCATGTTGAGCGGTGGTGCTGGTGCCTGGAACCGAAGTTTCCCTTCAAGGAAGAAAAGAGACGATATCAATCAGGCTTCGATGATACAATGATGGGGTTTGAGCTGGCTGACCAACAGGAGGTGCTGCATAACGAACAGCAAAGAAATCCGTTATGTTAGAGGTAGAGTTGAATGTTCCCTGGTAAATTGCATATCCAAGGTCGACAACCTGAGGAGAATCTGCCCGTACGACAGATGCCAGGGCAAAGGCAACGAGGACTGCCGATAGCGGTACGGCACAGTGCATTCTTGCAGTAGCACTGCGGGGCATATGTCACTGGGTGTGGAGCATTATGCCTCAAATACCGCCTATTTGTAGCAGAGGCGGGTGATGTAGATCGGAAAAGACGGTGCGCGATGGGATCACGCGTCAGCCTGGGAATATGCGATGGGCCGAATTGCGAACGTGGATATCACACCACGGGAGGAGAACGAATAAATCATATGACGCCAACTTTCGGATGTATTCTTTAGCAAAGAAGATCACCGTTTAATGATGATGAGCGCGAGCGCTTTGAATATTAGCCAATAGCCAGTTTGACGTAGGGCAAGAACAATTCAGCGGCACGCCAACGTCAGTCAGGGGAATACCTCAATTAAATCCGAATGACTCGACGCATTCTCGAGAAAGCGCTAAGCTAGACGAGAAGGCATCTTGCATGAATACAACATGGCCAGAAGAACGTCGAAGGCAAGTGCGTTGGTCCGTCCAAAGTTCTGCCGAACAATCTCCTCTTCAGATCCTGTACCAAAGAGTAACAAAGAGTAACAAAGGGTTCTTAGTCTGCAATGACTCTGCATTTCTCGTCTCAAGGCTGCTCAAGACGTAAGAAAACTATTATACAGTAAATCAGATTATACTCATATTGGTCAATTCTTACAGTACCTGCAAAACATTCGAATGCAAAGTACCAAAAAAACTTACAAAGCTACAAATTTGATTTACATTGAAGCCAAGTTCTGCACAGGTGCCAGACTGTCCAGTGCTAGTGGTCCCATCTTGCTATGTGGGCACAGAGGAGTATCATTCATCAATTTTTGTCCAGAGTCATATGACTCATATCAGCATTGGAGTGACGGGATGATATGTGATTGATCACGATTGTGAAAGTTAAGCAGGTTAACACAGGAAAACAGGAGGATTGATCTTGCTCGACGGCGGATTGTCTCGCTCAGCAGAACTCTCGAAAGAGAGAACCTCGACGGCCGCGGACGGCGACCCAGGTCCCAAACGGACTAGCCAACGACGCATTCGACCGTCATCTGTGTGTCACTGTCACACCGCGCGTCACTCATTGCTATCGACAACGTTACACTCTATTCTTGGATTGTTATCCTGCAGCCATAAATACCTTACTGTTGAGCAGGCCCTAACGTCTGTGGCTATAGGAGAAAACAAGTGTGTTAAGCAGGATAAATCTCTGGGATTCTGCTGTATATTACAATAAAATATCTTGGAAGTACAGTCCCACTAGCCAGTCTAGCATCACAAAACATGAAAAAATCTTGTATACCCTTCTAGATATGGCAAGGTAGATTAAGTATTAGTAAACTATACAATTAAATATAAATACATACATGTTAGTAGTATACTTATTTTAAAATTACAATATAGGGACAGAATTCTTATTTGAATATAATCTTATGTAATTATTTGATATAAATGCAATGTCATACAAGAGCTGGACAAGAATTACAAAACAAATACAAGATTAACCAAGTATTCTAATAACATTAGAAGTCATTACAAGTAAGTGGAAATTATCATAACTACTAATATTGTTCTTGATTTCTTAAATACTTGGAAGTTTTTTCTGCCTAGCAAGATAAACGTCAGAAAATCGACAAGTCCATTTTCCCACCAACTAAAGTGATCACGTGTGTGTTGGTTTTTACTTATCTCGTTTCACTTTGCCTTCTGCTTTTCTCTCTCTCAACATCTCTTGCTTTCTTCCTGCCATCTCTCTCCTCTCTCTCACGACTAGCTTCCACTGCAGAGTCTGCCGTTGCAAGAACAACTCCTTCAATATCTGCTGCCGTGTCCAACACGACCTGCTGCTCTACTGAACAACTGCATTACATTGACCACGTCCAAAGACTCCCGCCATGGGTCACTGCAAGATCGAGACTCACCCCAATAACGGTGCGTGCATCTCCTTGTCCCTCTCCACCCGCTAGCCTATTTCCATCGTCCCGTTTCTCTATCCCCCGTGCTATTTTCTCGCGCAATTCAGTTCGCCATGCTGACTCTATTTTCTCTCGCGGGCGCTGGTAGCACGAGCGCAACCGCTCAGTGACTTTTCTCAAGGCGAGTTGTGTTCTCAGTGTTTTTGCGACGCGTTGTGCGGGAGCTGCAGTGCTAGTGTGACACATTGACTGAGTGGCGCTGCTGTGCTGCTGTGCGCTCGCTATAATTATTTCGACGGAGGCTAACGCCTATTTATTATTTATATCTCCTTCGCTGTCCGCTGTCGGTAACCACTCTGTGTGCTGTGCTGCGCTGTCTGTCTGTTGCATTGTTCTTGGCTGGCG